AAGGTTTTTTTTAATTAAAGGCATTCCTTCATGCTAAAGTGCTGTACCTGACTTACCATCTCCCCACTTTCGATCAAATATCTTGTAGGCAGTTACATTTTATCACCTTTTACACATGTTTCCTTAAGGAAGTTATTATTTACCCACAACTCTTTGCCATAACTCAGATGATGAACCCCAATCCTTCCCTCACATCACCATATGCGACAAAAAGAATGGAGAGATATAATTTAAACATATAAAGAAATCCAGAGACAGTGGAAAAGGATAACAGCCTTTTTCATCTTTTTGTAGAAAAAAAAACATACAAACCAGCTATAATGTAATATTAGTTCAGTTGCTGGGAAGTGTAGTCCATCATCAGTCAACTATTGTTACAGTCTTAAGACCAGAAAAAAAGAGAAAGCACATAGTGCTAACAAGTTCCGACTAAATTTTTCCAAAAACTCAAGATAATCTTCGGCATACATCTAAGTCAGCTGAGTTAAATCTAAAAATATATGTTGTTCACCCTGAAAAATAAAACCGTCCCAAAAACCCATCTTACAGGATACAAGAAAACTCCTACAACAACTAGAAGTGTGACAGTGGAAATCACAAAACCATTCGGTCTCAGGTTCTTCAACAACTTAATGCAGGCAGACTACAAATAAAAGATCTTAAAAGGGGGGGTGTCCCAACAACTTTCTCCAAAGTTTTCTTCCGTTCCCAAAGCATTTTCCCTAAGTTACAGTAACATTGCTTTCTTCGGCAAAGTCCTTCCCTCACCGCTATCACTGTAGCACTTACCACTAAAGCACTGCTAAAATACACTGCAGTGTGCCACGCAGCACGTAACATTCCCCAAATATTTTTTTAGTGTATTCCATATAGCTTTTCTGACACAGCAGTAAATAGGAAATTAGGTCACCCCTCCCTAAAAACCTCAGCCCTTGTTTACATTATTGCTATTCTCCCTCCGGTTTCTCTCCACAAAGCTGTAATGGCATTCAGAGAGCGTGACTGTGCTCCTCCAGCTCCTACAACCGCCTGGTGTAAGCACAATTTGAGAATGACAACATATATAAACATGACACAAGAAGCTTTTATACCCATTTCCACATTTAGGTTTTTGGAACAGCGTTTTTTTGCACCAGCGCTGCTGATAGCCCACACTGAACACAAGTGTTTCAAGGAGGGGGGAAAAAAAAAAAATAAAATCAAAAAGATCAAAAATCTCAAGCCATGCCCTGACCAGAGATTAAAGAAAACACAGAAAGCCCAAACATTTCCAGTGTTATGGCAGCACAGGACTAAAGTACATTAAATAATTTTAGTGATATGAATAGACCCAAATAGCTTCAAATGAAGTCCAACAGCAGAATTTCACATTCATTTGGCCTCTGCAAGACAGAGGTAAAGAGAGGAAATCCAGACACCAATCCACAAACACAGTTTAGGCATAAATTATTTCCGCTAGCTTGAGAACAGCATGTTACAGAAAAAAAAACAAGACAGCCTTTTCTGAAGGGCTCACAGACTACATAAAAGCAAAACACCGCACAGGCAAAGGGGTTAGAGAGTAGCTTGATGTCAAAATGTAGCACATCTCATTGTTACCATCCAGCAGAAACTGTGCTCCCAACAACATTCTTACAAAGCAGCTTATAAAACCCTCCTCTCAAAGTAACAGGTAAAATGCCCCCAGTGCCCATGCAGAAGTGCGCAAACAGCGCATGGCTTCAGCAGCAAGGGCTGTGAACAACGGGACCAAAGCTGCCAAATTCCTCTGCTTTTAAAATGCTGGAGAAAATGTGCCTGCTGGAAAAGTAGGACCACTACAAGCTGTGAAGGATAAATCGTATTTGTGACTCTCAGCTGTGCAGCATTCGTATACCTCCTGAAGATTTCAAAGGTTTCAGCAACGCATTAACAGTGGGCAAACATACTCAAAATATTAATAAAGCTAGGAATATCTGTAAGGACTTTTTAAACTTGCTAACTTCAAGTAACTCAGAGTGAGGAAGATGCTCACACAAAACATCCTAGCGTCAACCTGGCCAAAGCAGTACGAATTCCTTCAGTGATGCATTTTAAATAGCAGATTGCAGTGATTTCAATAAATCAGTAGAACATCTGTTTACATTTCAAGTACAAGCAGTCATTCTTCCAGACCCGTCGCCACACCAAGACAACTTCTATGGCTTTTTAGTATGACAGGAAATGTAAAAATCATAAAAAATAAATCAAACATTGCTTCAAAAAAAAAAAAATCGGGGAAAAAGGGGGCAAAAAAGAAAACAACCTCTTTTTCCTGAAACCAAGCATTTCAATGCATTCCACTTTGCAGCCTCCGAAAGTGGCTCCTGCCTTACCCTGTTGGGATTTTAGGCTAACATTCTTGCTTATTCTCCACTCTCTTCTGCTATCTCTACGTGCAGAAACATCATCCATCTCTGGTGTGCCAACATCGCTCACGGCTCTTTAACTTCCGAGCGCGCACAGACCCCTGACAGCCTGCATGTGACAGGCAAGTGGAAGATAGCCGGGTACTTTCGCAGATATGTCCTTTATTTACATGGTTCTGCTCTACCAGTAGCCACAGGGCTTCCCCTCCCTCCAAGGGAGCCCAACAGACCCGCTGCAGCTCCGCCGCCGCTCCTCACGGGGGAGAGGCCGGGTTCTTCCCCCACAGAG